GATGAACTGTAAAATAGTAAACATTGCGATAGAAAGCATATTGTATTATGAAAATGCGTATGGGCTGGGGGTGCGAGTGGAGGAATTTTTGTGGTGAGTTCATTTTTCGGTGCTGCGTTCGAGTGGTGTTATTCGAGCGGTCCTAGAGTCCGAGGTTAGAACCCCACCAATGCCACTCAACTTTGGTGCTAGGAGCTTCGTTATCATCCAGCTTAATACCACGCCTACACTAGCGGGACCTCTACTCTTGGCTCTGGTACTTCGTTTAAAGTATCGTGTTTTACTTAGGCCGTTTGATTGTTTAGAGGCACTAGGAACTCTTGATGGTCTTTAGTTTCCCAGTACTTATGTTGCCGACTCCTTTCGAGGGAACGGTAGATCCTCCTGACAATGGGGTTTAGTTCTGACTACTGTTTATCCCACCACAGTATGTAATGAAAAATTGAACAATTGAATATTGTAAGTGGGAAGGAAACAAAGAGGGGAAGGGATTTGATTTTCTTTTCTTTAATAATGCAAACAATAATCGAAAGACGACTGTTTGCTATTTGAAGCCAAATACGTGATACGGATAGAGAAGTATGTGAAATTGTGAAAGATGCAACATCAATGATAAAAACGAATAATACAACAATCAATGCCGATGCCGTGATCACCGTAACTGGGACGCTGGGGAAAATTCATTTCTTAATGGAATAACATTTTAGTGTATTACATTGTGCTTTCATTTACATTTCCAATCACCCTTTTGGTCTACGGTGTTTCTTAATATAGCAGACGGTAGCTCTCAAATAAGGAATTCCATGATTTTTCTGCAGTAGATAGGAATGCACTTCAACTTCTGATTGATTCAACTTGTGCGTATTTTTGTGAAAGCAGAGTTAATTCTGTCGGCGAAATGTAAAACGAAGTTCGTACAATGATTTCACAGTATAGTTCTCCATCACACTGACCAGCAGTGTGTTTGGGTTTCATCATAGGCGTACGAGTTTGCGACTTCTTAGCATCCATTAACAGACGTTTGATTGCCCACTTATCCTCTTTTTATTCGATAAAAAGAACTATAATGTTGGTATCATCATAGAAGTGACTACGTTTCTCTTCAAAGCGCGATTTGAAATTCGTCACCTGAATCTCTTACCCGGCATTGGACGAGAAATTAGTTGGACAACCCATCTAATATCGATAAGTTTCAAAACCATTTGCCGCGTATTTGTTCATAACGTGTATACTGACAGTGGTCATTTTCATCTTCCATTTCATTTTTATCAGTATTTCGCGATAATGAGGGTCGTTCGAAGCAATGAATAAGTAAACGAATTATGGCATAAACATTATTGCACGTATTTCATTGATTGAAATCATTCACAGGTGACTATAAAATCACTCCCATAGATTATCCCAAACCCATTAGGTTCTATTC